TGGATAATATTATTATTATATGTCATTTTAAAATGTTTCGGTTTTTGAAAACCGAATTATAAAAACCGATCCAACCGAATTGTAATTGGATCGGATCAGATTAGATTTGAATTTAGTTTGGACTATTTGGATCCATGTTTTGAAAACCAAAATCAATTTGGATTCACTTGATTGGATCGGATCAAACCGATCCATCCAAACGAACACCCCTACCAATACTGACTCAAAATTGTACTTTATTGTTAAAAGACAAAATTGCAAGAATGGCCCTTATGGTTAGGTCGAAATTACCACTTTGGGCCAAAAAGGTTTGGACTAGCACTCATGGTCCAAAGGTTTTCATTTTATTACCACTTTAGTCCAATTTACTTTAAATTTTTTTGTAATGACAATTTTACCCTTGGTTTTTGTTTTTGTTTTTTTAATTATTTAAGTACTTTTACATTTAAAAGAAAAATATATATGATATAATATTTTTCATATTCAAAATCTTTCAAATACACTAAATTCAACACCTTAGTTATCATCGTACAACAAATGAGAAGGCAAACATGCAACAAGTTACGCCGCAAAGCCTTTTTATATGGCAAACCTAATTCTATTGAAGACTACATTTACAGGTCTAGGGGATATAACATTGATATGCATGATCCGTTGTACTCTACTAAGAAGCTCCAATGCATCCGACGCAAGAAAACCAAACGTATCAAATGCAAATGGTATGAACACGTGTTGATTTTTCGTGCACGATTTCTCATGTTTGGTGACCTTGCATGTGACAACTTTTAATGCAGCCTATCCCGCCGTGAAACCCTCGGCTCTCAAGCCTACGAGAGGGGATACCCCTGTAAGGTCCACGCATGCATGCTTCCCTCCAACCCATCCAAAAATCAAAACATCAGTCAGTCTAAGGGTTGACCTTCCTTCTGTTGGGTCAGTCAAGAAATTAACACGAGCCTCTTTCTTGGCGGAAATCCCGGCACACTTAAATATGTCGACCAAAAATGAAAATACATCTTTCTCTCTCTCTCTCTCTCTCTCTCTCTCTCTCTCTCTCTCTCTCCTCCCCCACCGTCTTCCCCATCCTTTCTTGATTTTTCTACCCTGAATCCCAATCTGAAAAATATATTGATTGGATCTTTGTCAAACAACCTTCATCCTTTAGTCTTTATCCTTCAAACCTGCAACTACCACCACATCTGCTCCAAAGCTACCATTTCGACCATCGGGAGAGCCCACCACAATAAACGTCTTCACCATTTCAATAGCACCACCGTTGCCCTAACACTGCCATCACCATCACTACCTGTTCAAACCATAAGTCCGAAAACTCTGCCTCAAAGGCTGTTATCATTCAGGCCACCCAGTTCCCTCAACCCTCATCATCGACGAAACCTTGCTTTCAATCCTCACCCTCGTCTTGTTCAGGCACCAAATTCCAAGATTGTTCCATTTATCGACATCTAAACCAGATGATACACCAAAAAATGAAAGGGTCAGTGACAGAAGTGAAAAGGGGTCAAACCAAATCCATGAGTTCACATTCAGTTGAAGCAAAATCTCCAAAATCAAAACGAAAAATCGTTGCACAGGTTCTTCAGTTAATCTGAAACCCAATCTGTAAGAGAGATGGCGTTCCACCTCAGATTTTTATGAGAGAAGGAGATTGACAAAGTCGTCACCGCCACCACTACAAACCCTGGCTTCGATCTATGTGTCGCCGCCTGAAACTTTAGGGTTAGGTTTTTGTTGTGGGAGCTTCGATCTGAAATCCCTCGCCGTCGATGATATGATGATCCACTGTGAAACCATCTATGCTATGAAGATCCACCACCGTTCTTAAATAGATCGGGGAGATAAGAGAAAGATACAGAGAAAGAGATATCGATTGAGTTTTCTGATGGTGGTGCCATGTATGAATGGTTGTGGATTGTGGTGGTTGGTGATGGTCGTGATGGCAGAGACCGGTAGCCGACGGTGGTGGTGGTGGTGGTAGAAAGTGTTTTTGAGTGTTTATGAATATGTATGTGTGTTTTAAATGTTGGAATTCATAAAATGTTAAGAGAGAGAGAGAGAAGTGTATTTTCTTTTTTATCTTTCTTTTAAATATAAAAGTATTTAAATAAATAAAAAAAACAAAAACTAAGGGTAAAACTGTCATTACAAATTGGATCAAAGTGACAATAAAATGAAAATCTTTTGACCATGAGTGCTAGTCTAAACTTTTTTTTGCCTAAATTGGCAATTTCCACCAAACCAGAGGACCATTCTTACAATTTTATCTAAATTATATTTTTTTTCTGATATTACAATCCTTGAAACTATCTGGACTAGAACTACAAATTGAGCAACACCACAATGATTAAATTTGTAATTTACTTAATTAATGTTTTGATTTATATGTGAATATAGTTCAAATAAATACACCGTTTAACCTGCCGGCAGCCCACCCCACTGCGTCGACACCACAACTTCCATCAATTCTAAGTTGAACTTGCTGGAATTAACTTTTGTCGAATATGGAGATGGAGATGGAATTGGCGACGGATCTTGTGAATGCTTTAGAGAAGGCAACCATAATGGCAAAACAGCTTTCATCCACCGCTACAGAATCTGCAAAAATCTACGCCTCCCTCCACGCCGCTCACCGCCAGCTCTCTCTCTTCCTCTCTCACGCCGCAAAACCCTCTGCAGATGTAACTGATGGTGATGATGCGCCGATGGAAGTTGCCGATGAGGAGCAACAAACGGTGAGTGGAGCAAGGGAGGAGGATTCGAAGATGGCTATGATTGATTCGGTGGAGGAACGGATGAAAAATTGCTTTGTTCAGAAGAACAAGCGGCCAAAACGGCCGTTATCGCCGACGTGGTTGGCCGCTGGGGAGCAGAAGCGGTTGTTGGAGTATGAAAGTGAATCGGCTAGGGTTGGAATTGATTACGATCCTCATATAACCAAATTGAGAGCTTTGGATCTGATTTATCAGTTCCATTGTTGAATCCTCAACGATTTAGGTTTGATTCGTTACCTTTTCCATTAAAACTGAGTATTTGGAGCCGGTAAACATGCTACTATGTACGCAATCACTACAAAATTTGATTTATATATTTTATAGTCATATTAGAATCGAAATTGTTCTATTTTTTTCCAGTTATTCAAGCTTGAAGAGTGTATTACAAAACTTTTTTAGCTATGCGAACACATAATTTGGGAATATGCTACATGATGGATAGCACATTGTACAACTGTGTTCTTACATGTTAAAATAGGTTTACCAATGTTAACCAACGAATTATTTCAAACCAAGGTGTATTGGTTGTAAAATTACGGGAGAATGACTTGTAAGGGTAAGAAAGTATAAGAATTGTAGAAAAAATACCATTGAACTTTTTTTTGTACACATATCGCCAACCAACTATAACGTTTGTATATGTATGACAATTAACTTCACATTTGTTCAAAAAATACTATTACGTTACCAGTAATAGTAGGTCACCATCCACGTGGCAAACCATGTGGTTGCTGACGTGGATTTTACTATTTATTATATACAAATTATATCATTAATTTTTTCTTTTGTACATATTATACAATTAATTTTTTTTGTACACATTTTACTATTAATTTTTGTGTACATATTTTACCATTAATCTTATATAATTTATTCAAAAGAAATATCATTTCAAAAAATACATATTATTACATAAAAATGGGTTTTCTGTCACCTATTGTGACTCCCAGATTTTGTAAGGTTTTGGAGAGAGGATTTGCTTTTAACAATGATACTAAGCACTTCATTTTACAACATCTTACATTTATGTTAGTCATACATCCGATTGAAACCACAAGGTTTGAACTTGAGACTTCCCGCTAGAGTGTACAAACTTTACTCGGCAAGCCACCAAGATGACAATTTAATATTATTATATAAGTATAAAGTATTTTTACAAGTAACCACAAAGTATTTCTATGTATAAATATGTATTTTTACATACATATAAAATATATTTATTATAAATATGTGTTTTTTAATGTATAAATAGATATTTCAATGTATAAATACATCTTTTGAGATTTGAAAACCATATGCTGGTCATGTAGTATATATTATTAAATACTCAATTATCCATTATTTTAGTTGAAGTTTAATACATTTAAATGTATAAATATATAAATACTCTATTATCCATTATATTAGATTTCGAATCCCCCCTCCCCCTTCTTGATTAAGGTTGATGATTAGAAAAGTGCATTGAAATTATTTCGTTGTTTACCGATAAGAAATAACTTATAATGTTAAGTTTATTAAACTTTAGCCAAAATAATGAATAGTTGAGTATTTCTTGGGCACTTGAGAGGGAAGTCTCAAGTTTAAACCTTGTGAGTTTCAATCGATCTATGACCAACATAAATATACGATGCAGTTGTAAAAGTGAGTGCTTAGTATCATTGTCAAAAGCAAACTCTCTCCCCCAAACCTTACAAAATCAGGGAGTCACAATAGGTGGTGGAAAACCTATTTTTATGTAACAATATGTATTTTTTTAAATGATATTTTTTTAAATAAATTATATAAGATTAATGGTAAAATATGCACAAAAAAGTTTAATGGTAAAATGTGTACAAAATATAATTTGTACAAAAAAATAATTTAATGGTATAATGTATACATAATAAGCAGTAAAATTCAGGTCAGCCACTGCTGGTGACCTACTATTACCGGTAACGTAATGATATTTTTTGAACAAATATGAATTTTAATGGTCATACACGTACAAACATTATCGCTGGTTGGCAATATGTGTACAAAAAAAGAGTTCAATAGTATTTTTTTTTCGTACAATTCTGATACTTCGTTACCCTTACAAGTCATTTTCCCTAAAATTATTATAGATGATGACAATGATAATAATGATTGGAAAAACTACAAGTTCAACTGTTCAAATGCAAATATCAGATTTTAAAGAAAGATATATGGCTAATGTTTAAGCCATATTATTAAGTCTCAAACAAACAATACATGGATGGTTACAACTTACAACAGCTTCTTTTTTACAATAAGAATGGTCAAATCTCAACTATGGTTTTTTGAAAGTTAAGAAACACTTATACAATACCATTTCTAACACTGCATTCTTCACAGATGAGAATACTTTCTAAGTACAATTTTCCTACATATACTCAAAAGATATCCTGTTATGAATACTCGATCAAATTATGCAACTTTACAAAATCTTCTGGTGTGAGTTCTTCTGGCCTTGACTGCATTAATAAACAATCCTTGTGTAAAAAAAAAATTGTTTTGGGATTAAAAAAATGGAAATTTCCAGAAAAGTAAGTCACTATATTCTGGGCTCATTAACGATAAAGTTGTTATTTTAACAGAAAAAGACAAAATAGATCCTTAGAATATACGGACTTTTCTAAAAATTTCTCCCAAAAACAAAAGATAGCAAGAAGAGAATAGTTACAGTAGCTGGGAGACCAATATTTACAAGTGCTTCCTCAATCTCAAGGGATGATGTTATGTGTTGGAGTGATTTACGCAACATCTTACGCTTCCCATTGAATGCAGAATTAACCTAAAAATACCACATTTATGACGTATGAGAATATATTTGATCAGACTATTGATTGAGGATCTTGATCAAGTTTTTTTCATGGACCCACAACATCTAATAATAATCATATACCACATTTTTCAGGTCCAATCTTGATTTTAGATCAAGAGAATGGGACCCTTTATGATATCATTTGAGTAGTGGAAAAATGAACAAATTGACAAGTAGAAACCATTGAAAAGAAGGTCTTGGTTGATGAAACTTGGGGATAATCTACTTCTTGCTTCAGTCTAAACACAACAACAGCTGCATCCACCTATAAATATAAAAGAATGTTATTATTACCAATAATGAATCTTGTTATATGGCGACTGACTATTGATTATCTACTCCTTGTAAAATTGTGTGTGTAGTACATAATAGCTGTAACCTTTGAAAATACTGTGTATGATTTTGTAGAGTGATGGTTTCTTATTAATTACTTAATAAGTAACTAAATAGAGTCAAAAGATTGCTTACTTTGGGTTGAGGAAAGAAGTTTTCTCTTGGGACCTTAAATTTATATTCAGGATCTGCAGGAAAAAAAAAAGATGAAAACGTATTCCACCCTAAAATCTCCAAAATTAGGTCAATGTTCTCCTTTTTATTTTGGTTTCATATGTGTTACCTGAATAGAAGTTTATGAAGATATTGATGGGTCGATACTCGGATGTCCTCAAGGATGCGTCCACCATGCGCAAAGCAGCTTCCTCCTGTTCAATTCAATCACAAAGATGACAAAATCATACCAGAAAAAAAACATCTTCTCTATTATAAGTCTGAAGAACTTATTAACACAATAATGACAAGTGGACATTTTGACATGAAAGAAAAACACAAACCTGGAGTAATAAGACCACTTCTGAGAAGACATCGCCCATTGGAAGAAGTTGTTTAACTACATCACTACTTATATTAAATGGTATATTCGCAACTACCTGTAAAAACAACAACTTATTTTGTCAAAAAAAAACCCACAAGGAGAGTATAGAATGTATTCAAGCATAGAGAACAAGTTTTTGACCTTTGCGTATGGCTTTGAATCTGAGGAATCACTTCCCATGAATGATGACAAATGTGATCTGAGGTGGCATCTAGTAAAATCTTCTTGTATCACCTTCAACAAATGTGAACATTAAGGTAGAGTTTAACTTATTTAAGAAAAAAAAAACAAACATAAGTAAATAAATGTGTTTGTTACCTTCACACGGTGTGTACTTGCAAAGCGTTCTGTTACAAGTGCAGCCATGTAAGGATCCTACACATTACAAAGATGAAAAATGAGATATTGAAATGTTACTTTATTATGTGATTAAAAGATCAAAAAGGAAAAACCTTTTCAATCGCGAGAATAGTTGCACCAGATTCAACAAGAACATTGGTGAGAGAACCGGTTCCTGGACCGATTTCAAGCACCACATCACCATCACCCACATTCGCAGCATCAACAAGCTGCTCATTTACTTCATTGTTTACCATGTAATGCTGCATATAAACAAAACATTAACAACTACTTAACTATTAACTATCACTCTCTCCATTTTAAAATACTATAGAGAACCGAAGGCTGACACTTTGGTGTAAACCCAAACAGTTTTCAGATTGATTTCCTTATACTAATAACTCTCAACTACGTTCACCTTGTCATAACTTGTTCTAAAACTCAATGACGTTTAAGAATCTTATCTTACAAGAGCTTCACCATTGTAACTAATGCAATCAATGCCTGTCAGAAAAGAAAGGATTTGTGCTTAAAATTTCCTACAAGAGCTTTAATCAAAGCATTTCGTATCTTGGGTAGCTAGCCATTCGATTTCAAAGATTCAAAATGTAGCTTTTCTACTACAATCAACACAACCCACCAACTGTTCGACGAAATTCCCACAAAAAATAAATGCACATCACGTACTTATTCACCCAAAGAAACTGAAAACGCGTATCGAAATTAGCTCTAACATAACAAAAAACTATGTTTCTAACATAATTTCCGTCGTTTTAGTGGGCGACAGCAGTCTAATAAACCATTCTTTGCAAGCACAAAAAATGCATAGCAAAATATACCCAAAATTTAAGAAAATCACCTGTCCAAGGGCTTTCCGAGGGATACGGCCTTTGGAGTTGAGAGCTTTGACAGTTGAATGGTAGTCGTCAGGTTCTTTGACTTTGATTCTGGTTATTTTGGGTCTGGTTCTAGGTTTATCAGTGTTACTACTTGATACACCACACACAACAGAGTGGGATCTTGTGTAGTGAAGGGGAGGAGCAGATGAACGCACTGACGGGAGATTTTGTAGCAGAAGAGTCATCGTCTTCGCCCAGAAAACTTGGTCGGATTGAACGAATTTGCGAGAAGAATAATAATGGTTATCGACCCGTCCCAACTCCCATGTTAAGCTGTTAATGCAGTTAATGACATTTGAAGTCACTTATTTAGAGAAATTTAGAAACGACTCATAAATAAATAAATTATGAAAAAATATAGTCTCCAAATAAATTAAATTTTTAACAATTCCTCTAGGTTAATGCCACAAAAAATATTATATATAAGGGAAAATGACTTAAAATGACAACCAATAACACAAAACTTGTTCTTTAGGTCACTAAACTTTGTATAACCAACATTTTATTTTGATTTATAATATCAACGATTACGATTTTTATCGATTAAAATGATAACGAACACAGTCATTCCCCTAGCCACATCTAACTAAAACCCTATTGTAATCATTTTTCTCAAACAATAACCGACAACCATCAACAATGTCATAGTGTTTTTGTGACATTGTCATTTTAATCGGTAGAATATATGTAGTTGAAATTGTGGTTTGAGAAAAAAAAAATACTATAATAGGCTATTAGTTAGACGTGGCAATGGCAATGACGGTGTTCGTTGTCATTTTAATCAATAAAAATTGTAATCGTTGTGTAACATCCCAAAATCATGACAAAAAATTTCAATTCTTAAAACCATTCAAAATTCATAAGTTTTACAAAAACAAGATTCCAAAAGTCACAACCACATATCAGAGTATTCCAAAATCGTATATCATATAAAAATCCAGGATGATGTGCATAATTAGGCATTCGCTTTGCCTCTGTCCTCTGAAGTACCTGAAACCATAAAATCAAACTATAAGTCAAAGCTTAGTGAGTTTCCCCAAAGTACTACACACAACCCAAACAGATACACATATTGCATGTTGGGTCCACAGTCTCCCAACTGGAATACCCTGGCCTACACTCTCCCGACTAGATTGCCCATTGGCCCACAGTCTCCCGACTGGATTGCCCCTGGCCCACAGTCTCCCGACTGGATTGCCACCGACTCACACCATGTCTACCAGTCTAACATATAGTTGAATCGATAACTGCTCTAAGCACTGTCTCTATAGGTCACCTATACAATAAACAAGGACCCAAATCTCAATCTACTATTTAAAATACCCAAAATAGCCCAAAGTCAAACTTAGTCAAAGTCAACGGTCAAAAGTCAACCTCCACTTGATCGCCACGCCGTGGCCACTAAATTACAAAATAGTCGAGTCTTAGCCCAGTCGCCACATCGTGGTGAGCTAAGGCCACGTCGTGGGTAATGGGTTCCTAACAGCTTAATGGGTTAAGCCGTTTTCTTCGATTCTAAGGGCTCCAAAGCTCAGATTTGGCCCATATTATGGTCTAAATGGATAAAGTTTCCAACTTTATCCCATTAGACCCTCCACGAGGTAAGGATTCCACTCCCTTATCCAAAAAGGGCAAAACAGAAATTAACTTAATTCATTAAGCACTTAATCTTAGAGACTTCTAGTCCAACACTTCCAGAAATGTTTCTAGCATCATAAAACAACATAAAAACCCTTACTTTCCATACATGCATGTCCAATGCATGTATTGGACTCTTATTAGGTCAAAATGAGGGTTTTTGACAAAAAATTCATGCATAATACTAAAACTCATTACTAATCCAGATCCAAAGCACCAAATGCCCTAAATGGCCTGTAGATTCATAAAGTTGCAAACTTTATGAGATCTCACCGCCTAACAATCGAGAACATGAAGATTTAGGGACAAAAATCAAGATCTAACAACCTATCATGATAAAAATCGAGTCTTGGACACTTACAAAGGTCTAGAAGAATGCTACAACAAAGGATGAGGACTTGCTTGCTGAATCTTAGCTCACTTTTTCTTCTTTCTTCCTTTAATGGCTTTAAAGAACACCAAAACAAGGTTTAAACAAAGGAGGAGGGAATTAGGGTTTTCTCAGGTCTCAAAGAGGCTGATGGAGGCTGAGGGTGAGCAAACTCTAGCCTCCTCGTTCCTTTAAATAGGGAGCAAAACCCGAAAATAGGGTTTTGTCATTTTCCAGCTGCCATACTGTGGCGGCTTAAATGAACACGCAATGCTTTTTGATGTGCCACGTCATGGTGTCTCCCCCACGTCGTGGCAAACCTTAAAATGCTACAAAAAATTTGGAATTTGAATTACCTCGGGATCCAAGTGTTGCGACTAACTCGGGGTAGTGCTCCCACATCTCAACCTCGGGTTCCCAAGTCCATTCGGAACCCTTCTGATGATGCCACTGAACCTTGACCAACGAAACCACCTTGTTGCACAATGCCTTCATATTCTTATTTAAAATTGTCATCGGTCTCTCAACATAGTTCAAGCGCTCATCAAACTGTATGTCGTCCAAAGGAAACACTGCTGAATAATCAAATATACACTTTCGTAGCTGAGAAACATGAAAAATGTTATGAATATGACTAAGCTCCGCAGGCAGATCCATTCGATAGGTTACCCTGCCTACCCTGGCCACTACTCAAAACGACCCAATAAATCGGGGCCCCAACTTGCCCCTCTTCCTGCAGCATATTACGCCCTTATAGGGTGATACATTTAGTAAAACCATATCGCCAACCTGAAATTCTAACTCAAATCGACGCCTATCGGCATAACTCGTCTGCCAACTCCGAGTTGTTTGTAACCTTTGCAAGATTTGTTGAATAAGCTCTGTCGTATGAAGGGCTACCTCGGTCTTCCCCATAACCCTGTGACCGACCTCCTCCCAACAAACGGGTGTACGACACTTCCTCCCGTAAAGAAACTCAAAAGGCAGCGCACCAATGCTAGAATGATAGTTGTTATTGTATGAAAACTCCACCAGGGGAAGGTTGGAGTCCCAACTCCCACCGAAATCTATGACACAGGCTCTCAACATATCCTCGAGCGTCTGGATAATCCACTCGCTCTGGCCGTCAGTCTGCGGATGATAGGTGGTGTTGAAGTGCAATCTCGTACCCAGTTCCTCGTAGAACCTCTGCCAAAATCGTGAAGTAAACTGAACATCCCGATCAGATACAATGGAGACTGGAATACCATGCCGAGCGACGATCTCGCGTACATAAACATCGGCCAATTTCTCGGGCACTCTTGGTCAGACGATCCACAATGACTCATATCGCACCAAATCACTTAGTTGTCCTAGGTGATTTGGTAATAAAATCAATGGTGATCTGTTCCCATTTTCACATGGGAACCTCCAAAGGTTGTAACTTGTCGTGTGGCCTCTGGTGCTCGGCCTTGACCATTCGACAGGTCATGCACCTCTGTACATACCAGGTTATCTCCCTCTTCATACATTGCCACTAGTAACTAAGTCTCAAATCCCGATACATTTTTGTGGCTCCAGGGTGCATTGAAATTTTCGACTTATGTGCCTCCTCTATCACGGTCTGCCTGACCCCACCAAAATCTAGAACCCAAACCCGACCGCACCGGGTCAGAAGTCCACAACTGTCGGCAGAAAACCTGTCAATTTCACCCCTGATTCTCTCTTGCTTCCAATTTTCCTTATTGACCTTCTCAGGCTGAGCCTCCCTGATCAAATCTAGAAGTGGCGAATCGATAGAAATCCTCATACATAAACTCCCAACATAAGTACTAGCCGCCTTGCGTCTCAAAGCGTCAGCGACCAAATTCACTTTCTCGGGATGATACAGAATCTCGCAGTCATATCCTTGACTACACTAAACAATCTGAGTTTTCTTACAACAACAACTATCACTCCAATATCGGTGCGCCGCCATTCTAGCTCCTCTACGGGAGAAAGTGTTGTACCCCAATTTGTTGGGGAAAGATTGGTCATAGAGTCACAGGAAGGACTGAGGTAGTCCTTCAGACTTCAGAGCTTATTCATCAGATTAGGCAGAGACTTCAGACAACTCAGAGTCGGTAGAAGAGTTACGCCGACAAGCATCGATATGAGTTGGAGTTCCAAGTTGGCGACATGGTCTTGCTGAAGGTATCACCCTGGTGTTGGATTAGATGTCTAAGCTCATAACTATTATTGGTATGTATTCGACCCGACTTAGCATGGTCCATTTGGGTTGCATGGCATCGCAACGATTTGGATAGACTTTTGTGAGAAAAAGATATTTATGATTTATTAATATATTATAAGTTCTAATATATTAATATGAAATCATATTATTTAATTAGTATTGATCAAGAATTAATTTGGAATTAATTCTGTGATCAAAAGACACTAATTAAATATATGGGTATTGATTGTGTAAATCATTCATTCTTATATATGTGGGCTTATGATCCATAGTTCTTCATGTTAGGCTAAACCCATGGAGTAACCCATGGATACTCCATGGAGGTTTTAATCCATGGAGCATGAAGAATATGGAAAGACATGAGTTACATAGTGTAACCCTAATAGCCACAATATATAAGGACCCCATGGCTCAAGAAATCGGCCAAAGGAAAAAGAGTTCATACGAGAGGGTTAGCCGATTTTGAGCATAAGGACCTTTTCTCTCAAGTTATTCGAAGTTGTTGTTGGTGTTGTGTGAACCATTTGAGGTGTCACACTTGAGGCACTCGGCTCTTAAGCTCCATGGGATCAAGCTACAACACAAAAGGTATGTTACTCTAACTAGTATCTTATTTGGTATATGAAAATGCATGCTAGTTATAGGTTTAATGCCTTGGAAACCATTTGCATGTATAATTAGTGAAAACATAGATCCAAGGTATTTAGGGTTGTATGTGCACCATATGATGTTATATTATACCAAAACCCTTCACCTGGAAGGGTGTAATACACTTTAGGAAGAGGGGAAAGTTGGGGCATAGGTATATTTGGCCATTTCAGGTGATTTCCAGCGTTGGCAAGGTAGCTTACAGGCTGGATTTGCAGAGCTGAGTCAGATTCACAACACCTTCCATGTTTCTCAGCTTCGTAAGTGTGTGGATGTTGATTCAGCAGTTGTTCCTTTGGAGGATATTCAGGTTGATGATCGCCTGAATTATGTGGAGACCGGTGACGATCTTGGATTGGAAGACGAAGGCCTTGCGCAACAAGGTGGTGTATTTAGTCAAGGTTCAGTGGAAACATTAGAAAGGTTCTGA